CTGCTGTGGCTCTGGGCAACTTGCTTTGAGCTGGGCTTCAAGAGCTGCAAACTACACCAATGAGGTAAACATTGTTCCCACCTTATACAAACATCTCCCCATACTGTATCCATCACTATGGATTGCTACTCCCATGGAAGAGATGCACAGACTTAAGACTAGGTGATTTATGCACCACCCTAACTAGAGAAAGTTACGGAGCTGTGTTACAGTGGGAAGAGAATTAGGAAAATGCCACCACATTCGGTGACTGAGATTCATAGAGGAGAAAACAGAAGGTAGTGTGCCATCCATTAGCTTAGTGCAAGCTGTGCCCTTGGTGAAAAAAATGGGTTTATTCACTTTTTTTGGATGATTTGCAAGCCAGCTAGGAGAGGTGAGTACTATAACTGAACTTGGGATAAGGCACAAAAAGAAAAATACTCTGCCCTACATCATCATCTAAAGTCAGCACCTGGACCCCTTTTCTTCCCAGAATATTTTGGATACATATCTCCTTTTGGAAAATAAAACCTCTGTCACAGGCACTGCGTGGTTTTCAGAGGTCCTACTCATCCTGTGACATCCAGGTTCACATACATTGGAATACAATAGGACAGTCATTGAGATGTATCCATATCCATATTCAAAGGGATTTAAACATGGCCAAAGAGCATCTCCTTCCACTACTTCAGCGTCAATAGCAACCACTAGTATGGGTTATCCTCCCCATGCCATATGCTTCCTTTTCAGGTGAAAAGTACAAGAGAAATATGCTCAGCTCCTTAACACTCCTAGTCACCGTATGAGCTGGAAATGGCAGACACAGCACTCCAGCGTTAACACAGTATGACAGCCCCATCACATTAGCTCCTCTCCATCACTCCATATTAGTATTCATCTTGGCTAACATGCTATGAAAGTCACTTTCCAATAATATTACTACTCATGAATACTAACGTGAAATGATACGAGCCGTACAACAGAGACTGATAATCTGATTGGAAGGGGCTAATATGACAGAGCCCTTAAGGGTGAATAACTGACAGCGTGATTTCAAAGCACCTTCCCCCTTGCCTCTCCTCCTCTTTGCATTTTGCACACAAGGGATAGAGAATAATAGATTTGAAAAGGCAATTCCATATTTGCTTCTGCTTTTTCTGGATCCTTATACAGTATCTGTCATGGATAAGCAGTGAGTGCATAGATAAGGAAGCAGCCTCTGACTTGCTCTCCATTAGGCTCTGCTTTATCTCAGTACTAACAGTTTCCCAGTATTCAACATTACCTGCAATGTGCTTCTTATTGTCCATTAAGTTACTGGCCAGATTATGAAGCAACAATTCCTTGGGGTCCTAGACAGCTCTCAGGAGCCAGTAATGTGATAACAAACTTCTTGTCTGTTGGTCACTGGCTTAAAACCAGGCACTCACTGGCTAGAAAGCATTATCATTTGTTGGCAATGAAACATTTCTAATGGTTGTGGCTACCCAACCCAAAACAAAGCACTGAGAAAGAGACCTTCAAGAAAAGGAGGAACACTCAGCCAAGTCGGACCGGTCGTGTTCCTTCCTGACCTGCATCAAAGAGCTCTTCCTGACTCAGGAGGTGCACAGGCCAACCAGAGGTAACGCTTTCCTAGACTTGGTCCTGGCCAAAGGAGACAACCTTTTGACCAACTTAAATATGGAGGGTAGCCTGGGTGACAGCAACCATGAAACCATCATGTTCACTGTCCATTGCAAGGCAGACAAATCTGATAGCAGGGTTGAAGGCTTGGACTTCAAAAATAGAAATTTTCAACAAGTTCAGGTCACTAGTAGGGATAGCGCTGCAGGACCAGGGACCAAAGGTGAAAGGAGCGCATGAAGAGTGGTCATTCCTTAAGGACATGATCCTTGAGACACAAAGGAAATCCATTCCCATGCAGAGGAAGGGTACCAGAAGGGCTGGGAAGCCCTCCTGGCTAAACCAGGAAATCATGGCCCCCTCCTAAGAAAGAAGAAAGAGGCATACAAACAAAGGAAGCTGGGGACAGGCTCCAAAAAGGACTATACAACAACAGCCTTTGCTTGTAGAGAACAAATTAGAAAGGCTAAGGCAGCAACTGAACTTAGATAAGCAACGGGATTGAAGGACAACAAGAAGTCCTTCTTTAAGTATGTAGGGAACAGGAGGAAAACAAACGGGAGTGTGGGACCATTGCTCAACAACTCAGGACAGCTGGTTACCAGCACTTAGGAGAAAACTGAACTCCTGAATGACTACTTTGCATCAGTATTTCACTGGGCCAAGAGGAAAATTATGCCAGATAGGGCACATAATGAGCAGGGCAAGAATGACTGCCTTCCTACAATTGCCATAGAACTGGTGTGTGATCAGTTAAAGAAATTAGACATATATAAGTCAACAGAACCAGATGAACTCCATCCAAGAGTGCTGAAGGAGCTGGCCAAAGTCATCACAGAGCCCCTGGCAAACTTTTCCAAAACTCGTGGCACTCCGGAGTGGTCTCTGAGGACTGGAAGAGGGCCACTGTTGTGCCCATGTTCAAGAAGGGGAAGAGGGAGGATCTGGGTACCTATAGGCCAATTAGCCTAACTTCTATTCCAGGAAAAAATTCAGGAAAAATTCATTAAGGAATCTATCTGCAATAGGTTTGCAGAAGTTGAGATTCTGAATGACAGCTAGCATGGCTTCATTACAGACAGGTCTTGTCTTATCAAACTCATTTCCTTTTATGAACATGTAACTTGCCACCTGGATAAGAGAGAAGAGGTTGACGTTGTATACCTTGACTTCCAAAAAGCCTTTGATCTGGTATCCCATGATGTTCTCATGAGAAAATTGGAGGATTGTGGGCTTAACTGCAAGACAGTTAGGTGGGTAGGAAGCTGGCTGTGGGGTAGGACCCACAGAGAGTTCTAATGAACTGATCTGTGTTGTCCTGGTGAGAAGTGGGCAGCAGTGTCTCACAGGGGTCGGTGCTTGGTCCAGCATCTTTATCAACATCTTTATCAATGATTTGGATGTGGGGATGAAGAGCTCACTGTCTAAGTTCATGGATGACACCGAGTTCTGGGGAAGGGTAAAGACAGGCTACAGATACAGGTGGATCTAGAAAGGCTGGTAAGCTGGGTGAGTTGCAACCAGATGAAGTTCAACACTGAGAAATGGGGACAAACAACCCACTACACACCTACAGGCTTGGCGATGCCAAATTGACCTGCTCCATGAACAAAAGGGACTTGGGAGTAATAACAGACCACTGTATGAATATAAGCCGGCAGTGTGACACTTGCCAGCAGGGCAAATAATACTCTGGCATGCATCAATCCGTGCATCTCCATCAAAACCAAGGAAGTGATTCTTCCAATTTACTCAGCATTGGTGAGAACCCAACTGGAGTACTGCATCCAGTACTGGGTGCTGCACTTTAACAAGGACGTGGTAAAGTTTGAGAGAGTCCAGAGGAGGGCCACACATATGATCAGAGACTTGCAAGGCAAGCCATATGAGGAAAGGCTGAAGGACCTGGGACTCTTCAGCCTGAAAAAGAGAAGGCTGAGAGGGGACTTGGTAGCAAGCTTACCACTACATCAGGGGAGTACATCAATGGCTTGGTGAACAGCTGTTCACCAGGACACGCTTGGGAAAAACCAGGAGTCATGGCCACAAACTCCTGGAAGACCGTGTCGGGTTCAACATTAGGAAAAACTTCTTCACAGTTAGGGTGTCCAGGTTGTGGAATAAGTCCCTCCAGAAGTGGTGCAATCGCCTACCCTGGAAGTCTTCAAGAGAAGACTGGACCGTCACCTCGCTGGAGTCACCTGACCCCAGTTGTCTTTCCTGCCTGGTACAGGGGGCTGGACCTGATGATCTTCTAAGGTCCCTTCCAGCCCCTTACAATCAATGGATCTATGAAAATGTGCATATCATGGGGACAGCTATAAATCTCATTCTTCATTTCTGGCATCTGTAATGCTATTATAAGCCTATGTGTAATGAGCTCCTTTTCCTAGCAAACAGATTTCCGCTTGAGATGACTGTAATTTTTTTTGTTAAAAACATTTTTATTCAGAAAATATTGTTTTGACAAAACTATTTTTTTTTCACAAGAGCATATGGCATTTACATGAAATTCCTGCAAAAATAATCCAAAATAGAGAGACAAAGTGAAAGCTGCTTTTGGGAAAAAAATATGAAACTTCATCTGTTTCCAACTAGATTAGTATTCACTTTTATAGTTTCATAGTTTCTAGGGTCGGAAGGGACCTGAGCAGATCATCTAATCCGACCCCCTGCCATGGCAGGAAGAGCACTGGGGTCAAATGACCCCAGTAAGGTGGTCATCCAACCTCCTCTTAAAAACCCCCAGGGTGGGAGCCTGCACCACCTCACTTGGAAGCTGGTTCCAGACTCTAGCCACCCTGACCGTGAAGTAGCGCCTCCTGATGTCCAACTTAAACCTTCCCTCCGCCAGCTTGTGACCATTGTTCCTGGTCACTCCTTGCGGCGCTCGGGGGAACAGGGACTCCCCCAGCGCCTGCTGATCCCCCCTAACCAGTTTATAACAGGCCACAAGATCCCCCCTCAGCCTTCTCTTTTGAAGGCTGAACAGGTTCAGGTCCCGCAACCTTTCCTCATAGGACCTACCCTGCTGTCCCTTGATCATACGAGTGGCCCTCCTCTGGACCCTAATGTTATTTTTATTTCCACATTATTGCATGACCTGTCAGTAGCCATAACATGACATGTCAGATCAACTCAAGTAATGACTTCATGCTTGAATCTTCCATGTGATGTTATTCTTAAACAGTGTGTGATAACGACCATGAGAAAAAGTGGTTGTTCTAGTTGTAAGACTCATACATACCAGAAAGAAACTATGACCTTTCCTCTGCCACTGATTGCAAATATGCTGCATCTCCCTACTTCATGGGTGCCTCTATGTATTGAGCTACACAACACAGCTGTCCTTTCACTTGGTTATTAATGGATACAGGCAACCACCACTTAGTGTTCTTAATTGGTTCCTGAAAAGCCAAGTGTTAAGCAAAATGAGCATTAAATGAAACTAAAAGTATTTGATGACCCAAGATGGCAGCCACAAGTGTTTTTCATGACCCAAGAAGGTGACTGTGAGCATTATAGCGAAACTTGCTGTGCACTAAGTGAAATTAGGTATCAATTTAAAATCCGCGTTATAGCAAAATAGCGCTATGCAAAACAGCGTTAAGCATGGGCTGTCTGTTCTCATCAGCAAAAATGCACACAAACACACAAACAGTATTTTTCTTAGTAAGTCCCAGCCTGGAATCAATTAAATAATAACTAGGAGACTGCTAAGAGTGCTGTCAGTAGTAAAACTTATTTCACTCTCAGACTGTTCCACAGCAGGCAATCAGAGCTCTAGTGCTGCTGCCTCATCAGAGGAAGATTTCAGTAGGGCCATCAAGCACCATCTTTAAGGACTGTTTCATGTGGTCTGGATCATACCAGCCACCTATTTCACCTTTCTTATTTGCTGGGGCTCGTATGGCTTTAAGGAGGAAAGAGACTCCAAGACAGTCCACAGGGAGGATGGTAAAAATATGTCTTTTAACCTGTAACTCTGGAGGTCACTGTTGGACTTTCCTTGAAGCTTCATTGCTGGCTCAATGAAGCTTCATCTTCTTAGTCAAGCTACAAGAAGCTTGCTCCTAGGCATCTCCAAATGCCTAGGAGCAAGCTTCTTGTAGCTTGACTAAGATAAGTAAGTTGCCTGGCAGTGAGTTGTAATTAAGGGGTTGTAGACCTAATGATGCTGTGTCACCTGTGGATGGAGGATTAAAAAGAAGGGAAACTGTGAACCCCATTGTCAATAGCTCATTTGGTATCTTAGGTGGTATGACTGGAAGGGATGAGAAAAAGGGAATGTTACCAGACTACAAAGCAAATGCACTCTTCTTGGTTTGGAGGACCTGTATGGAAAGAGTGAAGTAGATGAAGAACATAATGTAAGCTTGACTAAATAGGAATAATCAAGTTGGGTTTCCCTTCCTGATGCCTTACCTTTAAATAATAAACATGTTCCTTATGAATAATCCCAGTTATGTTTTGTATCCTCTGAATACTTCCCACGCCAACTTCATCACGTCAGGGAGTGTGTCTGTAATGACAGAGGAGAGGAGGGTGAGTGAACTCAGCTCATTAACCGATAACAAGTTTAAAAAGCTAAAACCTTTGAGCAAAAGTTCTCTAGTATTAGACTGTATTTCCCCTCATGCCCATTTTTCTGACCTAATAAACCACCCAGTATGTATATAAAGGTAGAGATCTCTGAGTGATACATCTGTAACACATATCTATCATCTATTTGGAAAGACAGGCATGCAGATAGATTGACAGAGAGAAAATCTATTTAAAAGAGGCTACATGCAGAAAAGGACTTAGTCCCCCCCAGCTGCCATCCAACTGGCACTTTAGGGATCTAATTTCACATTTTAAATACTCTAAACCCATGTTCAGCTACTACCTAATCCTGGAGGTGTCTATGATTTCAGAAGTAAATTTCCCTGAAGGCCTAAACATCAGCTGCTAGCGTATGTAGAACCAATTGGGTCTTGACAGTGTTGAGCAGCAGGGCACCTGACTCATGCTTATGCCCCATCAAATTCATCGAAATGCTCTTCCATCCATTTTACCTGTAGGGCCCAATCTAACAGGTGTTCTTAGAGCAGGGTCACTGAATTGGGCTCTCCATACAGTACTATTACTCATGGTGGCACCACCACACTCTTTGTCAGCCGTTTTGTGGTTGACCAAAAGTTTAAGTCCCCATGTTGCTTGGGAGGATTTGACCCACTATCTCCTATGCCTTAGGTGAATTCTGTAACAGAGTATTATAGAATAACTATGTTGTATTGTTTTGTAAAATAGGACTGGGTTTTGTACTTAATTCCAAGAGAAAGTTTGTGTCTATGCACACAGGACCAGAAACCTACATGTCTATATGGGGCTGGGTCTATGCCCTGTTTCCCCCTATTCCCTCCTCATCCCCTTCTTTGGTGTTTCTTTCTAGCTGGCATAAGTAGTTCCTCACCAGCATGCTTGCTCTTGTGAATCTCATGCAGAGATACATGCCCCATATAGGAACCTCAAAACTCATCATTACAGCATCTAGCTCATTTTCTGGATCAAGCCCTAGGTTCCTGCTAAAATTAGATTAGGGTGTCAGAGCAGTTCTTTATTTGACCAGTCCCAAAGGATACTTTCATACGTATGTGGGAAGCACTTAGAAGCCCAGTAGAATATTCAGTGTTAGTTTGTTTTTTAACACTCTCTTTTTTTCTTTCAATAATCCAGTAAAGAAGGTTACTCCTCACGATACACTCAGTATTATAAATGTGTCTCTGTCTGGAGATGATTGTTGCCTGCTGTTTAATCAGAAGCAAATGCAGTGCAATGATAAATCATTTGTATGGCAGAGATTTACATGAGGATTGCTCAGCTGCGGACTCCAGATTGCCATTCAGGGTGCTCCACCACCTGTCCAGCATTATCAGGCTTCAGTCTGTTCAAATCAGATGCTGAGCACTTTGTCTCCAGCAGTAAAAGAGGGATGTTTTTATATACAGTGCTATAACCTGCTTGCTAGTCAACCATGAAAACAAAATAGGCAGATAAGAATAATATGCATAAGCAGGGCTGGTAACTGTGATGATGGCTCAGCTGGGGTTTCACCGCTTAGTGCAGTTTGTTGCATGAAAATTAAATTCTTGATTTCCAAGTCACCCAAATTTCCCCTCCCCATCCCCCGGCCACCCCTTCAGGGAGAGTATTAGTAGACAAATTATCATACTGCACTGAACAGCAGACTCCCCTGGACTCAGATATGGAATTCAATGGTCTGTGTTATGTAAAAGGTCATGTTAAATCATGGATTTTCATCCTGGGGTGGTACCCTTCCTGAGTCTTGTGAGTTGGTTCAGAGGCTGTGACTTGCTCCTTTTCATTTGAAGAAAGGAATGGAGTGAGTTCTGCACCGTGTTTCTTCTGTAACGTGAAAGCACAGTACACAAAGTTTAAGAGTCATTCTCAAGCTGTCAGTATGATTACTGTGCCCCCTTCTAACTTTAACATTTATTTATGTATGAATCTATAAGGTTTCAAAGATGTTACTTATCTCAGGAATAAGAGAACCAGTTCACACAAAATATAAAGAGGCTCAAATCACTCAACCCCTGTCTTGAGCCCTCTGAGATCTAAAAATGTCAGCTCAATAGCCTCATGCCCCTAAGTCAGATGTGGGACGCTGCCCAAGAAAGGCCCCTTTTTACTGAATATTTAATCTTGATAACAAAATGAAATATGAGAAATACCACTTAAGAAAACCTTTTAAATCTTTATCTGAACTGAACTTTTCATTCCCCTTCTCCCTTTCTCCTACTCCCATCCTCTCTTCCCTCTCCTTTTCTTCTCAATCTGGTGACTTTATATGTAATACCTTAAACTGGAACTCTTGCTATTCTGGTAGTTCTGGACTTCCAGAATTCATGTAATACTCTCCCAGCATGAAAAAGAAAGAAAGGTAAATTTGTGCAGCAAATGAAACTCTCTCAAGGCTCCCGCATTGTTGCATAGCTACTACCCTGTAGCGTGGTTCTTACACTTTTTATTCACCTTTGCAAAGTTTTATGTATAATTATTCACTTATCACAGTGAAGCTGTAGTTAAAAACTCAGTACTAAAAGAACGAAACCAGTAGACTTACATACTGCTTGTGCAGAATAATCATATTGTCATCACTACTATTGGTGAGGTTCAACAATAAAGATCTCCTTTAGACCAGTACTCACGGTGGCTTAGTTTGCCTTCTGTAATGTCAGTCACATATCTGCCATCGATCTTGACAGTTTTGTATCGGCTAAAGCACCATGGATAAAACTGTCTAGCTAGATGATTCTAAAAGAAATCACCGGTTGGATTCCTTATTTAGGACACAAGTGAGTATGTACACACAGAACTGCTTGACCATCACTGTTTTTATCTCATTTCAAAATGTATTCAGTCACTGTGGATTTTTTTCTTTGGATTCTGACAAGAAAGCCAGGATTTTTATTCCAGGTCAAGCCAATTCTTTCCTGTTCAGCCAGTGGTCTGAAAAATCAATCATTCACTTAAACTAGAAAGGGATCATCATGATAATCTAGTTTGACTTCTGGGCATAAAATAGGCGATAGAATACCATCCGGTGATTGCTGCATGACGTCCATTACTTGTGATTGAGATACAGCATATCTTTTAGAAAGACAAGCAACTCTGATGTTGTCACAACAATCTTAATTTAAAGATTTCAAGTGCTGCACAATCAACCCCATTCCAATGTAAGTTGTTTCAACAGTTACTCACCACTTATTTTGTGTCAGTATTCATTTAGCTTTAGCTTCAAGCCACTGGATCCTGTTAAAGCTCCTTATACTTTTAGAGGGTTAAAATGCTGTCTGCTAGCAGAAATTTTCTCATATATACCCTTATTTAGCATGAACATGTCACCTCCTAACCTCTTCCAAGATCAACTAAACAGTTTGAGCTTCACTGTTTTTTTTCACTGTAAGGCAGATTTTCTAGACCTTGAGTAGTTAGTATAGCACCCTACTGAATGCTTTCCAATTTGTCAGTAAGCTTTCTAAAGTGCACATTAGGGTTTATTGAGCTCTTTCTCTCTTTTTAACAAAACCTTTTTCCCCATGAAACATAAAACTTAGTACAAAAATTTATAATTCCTTATGAATTTTTCTCCAAAAGACCCTCACTCCAGATTATCTTAATGGTGACTACATGCCTCTGGGATGAATCGCCTTACCAGGTTCAAGTCATTCTAATTCCAAAGAGGGCACTTGAACTTAGAGATATCACAATCCAAGTGAGTGACTTAGCCACCAAGCCACTAGGACCTCTGGGATGAGGGGTGGAGTTGTTTTTTCAGCCTCTCTCATTGGAGAACTCTACTTTGAGTAATGATTCAAAAATACATTGGACCAAAATAAGAGGGTTATCTGACTCTCTCGTCTGTTCATTAAAATACTCCCGAAGATATGAAAGACCCTGGTTCAATTTCCTGATCTGAATCAGGCAGAGGAGTGGCTTGCATTTGGATCTATGACCTTACAGGTAAAAGTCCTAAGCAAACACAAGAATACTAGCTATTCTTTCATGATGTGGTGTTTTTTTCTGCCGCTCATGAACATTTGGAAAGACGTCAGGTTGGTTCCAATACAGAACGAAAACAAATGTTCAAACGTCTGTTCTCTCTCGCCACTGCCCTCCACCTCTGAAAAAACGCTTCTCGTTTCCCAGTTAGCCACTCCACTGTGAACACCAAAACTGGATGTGATTTCCCTGGATAACAGCAAGAACACAGGTAGTTACTATGGAGTAGCTGACATGTTTTAAGTTCAGAGACATAGTGTAACTAGGACAAGGTGAGCAAGGCACCAGCCCCAGGTGCCTACTTGTAGGGTCACAAAATGACAGCCTGGCCACTGCTGCCCAGGACACAAAACTTCTTAGTTACATCTCTGATTCATACCTTAGCTCAACTCACCTTATCTTGCCTGTGAAGTCACACCCACGTGGTGGTAACACTTCTCTTGATATTCTGCTGCTTATAACTCCAAGGCCTGTATTTATGCTTAACTACCGCAGCATACTAGTAATTAACTCCCTTTGGTTATCCAGCAAGGACCACCTAAGGTGCAGGAAGGTACAGATTCAAATGTAATATATATTTTGGATCCTAGATTTATTACACTGGAGATGTAATAAAGAAATGGGTGACATTCAAATGAACCACTATGCTACTACCAACAAACGGCATTAGAGAGGTTCCACGTTTCTTATTCTCAGCTGGAGAAATGATTTCACAGCAGAGACAGAGCTCTGGGCATTGAACTGAAGGGAAATATTTCAGGGTGAAGGGAGGAGAGACATTAACTAGCACTCAGACATGAGGCCTGCCCAGAAAGCCACACCAGAAAAATTTAAAAAAGTCCTCTATTCTCTGTGCAGCTACCAGCTATTTTCCTCTGTTTCACTCTCCTTTCAATCAGGGAACAAGGCTTTGGGAAATGTGGAGTGGCTCACACCCTCTTAAATCCCCTGCAAGTAGGCAGTTAATAAAATTCAGCCCCCTGCTGCTTTTCGCCCTTAACAGATCCACTTTGAAAGCTAGTCATGCCACACTTCTCCCTCTCTGTGGCAGGGAATAAAAAGAAGCCCAGCCAGGAGGTTTCTTGTGTGTTTTTTTCCAGTTACAATTATAACTACTAGGCCTCAGGCAAAGAGAGAGATAGGGAATATATGCCTAGAGGCAGCACAGATTCGTAGTTCTGCTCCGTTCCTGCAATGGCTCTTCCAGGTAACAACACTATTTGGGGCTAAGTTACTGGCATGTCCAATACTATGCAGAAGCTCAGGTTCATTTCTTTTAATCATGAAGCAGACTTTTTTAATGATTTTTTTTCCAACTCCTGCTGTTCATTTTGAATGACTGTTGAGGCCTCCTGATGCAGAACACTTCATACAGGAGCAGTAGGGTCTAGGTAAGTGGTAGCTGCAGGCCCAACCAGCACAGGTTTGTTTAATGTTTCCTCTTATTTCATGTGGATTTTTTTTTTTACATTGCCTTTCCATAACTTTTTTTCCCAAGAGTTTTTACAGTAAAGGAGGGGCAGCTTTTCTTAGGTGTAGTTGAGCAGCCCTGTGAAAAAATGACTGCTCATGATTTATTCACATGTACAATTAATCCCCATTGATAATTTCCTATTGCAGTGTGTCAGCCTAGCTAAACCTAAGTGCCCTTACAATTTTCCCATCTCATTAGATTCGTCTTGCAGCTTAAGCCACTCTATGGCTTCCCTTTGGAATCTATTTTCCGACAAAAGTTACCCTGTAATTAATCTATAATCAGGGTGTCCAGACTGTGGAATAAGCTCCCTCCAGAGGTGGTGCAATCACCTACCCTGGAAATCTTCAAGAGGATACTAGACAGTCACCTTGCTGGGGTCACCTGACCCCCAGTTGTCTTTCCTGCTTGGTGCAGGGGGCTGGACCTGATGATCTTCTGAAGTCCCTTCCAGCCCCTTACAATCTATGAATCTGTGTTGACTCCCCTTGTCTGTACATATCTGTGTTCTCTCCTTATAGCAAGGGTTTGGGGGAGAGGGGGTTGCTGGGGGAAGGGGTGTTGCAAATAACTTATTTGCTGAAAAATGGTAGAGTTTCTCTTTTTCAGTCCCTTTGGTTAAAGATGTTGCATTTTTAATAATATACTTGGGTAGTCCATAAGTCAGGGTGAGGGAATGATTAATTGACTCTACAGCAGTGGTTCTCAGTCTTTTCAGACTCAGGACACCCCTCAGTAGACTCAAGACCCCCATCAGAAAATGCCAACTCTTAGTTTTCATTCTATTTTTGACTACCAAAAAATAGTAAAGCCATTCTTCTGTTGCAAAGAGCTCAGAAAGACCACAACAGGTCAGAAGGCTTTTAACTCTATGGATTTAAAACTCATATCACTCATAGCATGACCAATGGTGAGGATATCTGAGAACATGTGGTGCTTGGGACCTCAATTCCCAGAACGATCTTGGAAAAAATCATCAAAGAAGCCATCAACAATAGACTAACAGAAGGCAACATTCTGAGGGATAGCCAACATGGCCTCATTGCGGGTAGGTCTTGCCTGACCAACCTCATTTCCTTCTATGACTAAGTCAAACATCACCTGGAAAAAGGAGAAGAAGTTGATATTATATATTTAGATTTCAAAAAAAGCCTGTCACTCTGTCTCCCATTACACCCTCATGGTAAAATTGGGGAACTGCGGCCTCAACAAACTTACAGTCCGATGGCTGGGAAACTGGTTCCGTTGTCAGACCCAGAGAGTGATAGTCAATGGAACCAAGTCAACATGGTGCATGGTGACCAGTAGCATCCCCCAGCGCTCAAGACCAGTACTCTTTAATATATTCATAAATTATCTGGATTCAGGTGTCAGAAGCAGACTGGCTAAGTTCGCAGATGGCACCAAATTATGAGGAAGTGTGGTCACACTAGAGGCTAAGCTGGCAATTCAGGCCAACCTGAACAGGCTCACAAGGTGTGCAAATCAAAACCTGATGAAATTCAACACCGAGAAATGCAAGATGCTCCACCTGGGGAGAAAAAACTCACATCATACTTATAGGCTCAGCAGTGCTACACTCACTAGCACCATGACTGAATGAGACTTGGGGGTCATGACTGACCACAAGATGAACATGATCTACCAATACAATGCAAATAAAACTCTGGCTTGCATCTACCAATGCATCTCAGACAAGACCCAAGAAGTCATCCTCCCACTTTGCTCAGCCTTGGTGAGGCCACAGCTGGAGTACTGCATCCAGTTCTGGGCTCCACACTTTAGAAAGGATGTGGAGAAGCTTGAGAGAGTCCAGAGGAGAGCCACACGTATGATCAGAGGTCAAGAGAACAGGCCTTATGAGGAGAGGCTGAAGGACATGGGACTCTTCAGCCTGGAGAAGCGAAGGCTCAGGAGTGACTTGATGGCAGCCTATAAGTATATAAAAAGTGTGCATCAGGAACTGGGAGAACATCTGTTCACCAGAGAACCCCAAGGGAAGACATGGTCTAACAGTCACAAACTGCTAGAAGACCATTTTAGACTGGACATAAGAAAAAACATCTTTACCATCCAAGTCTCCAGAGTCTGAAATAGACTCCCCCCAGAAGTGCTGCAAGCACCCTCTCTGGATACCTTTAAGAAATACTTGGATACTTATCTTGCTGGGGTAATCTGGCCCCAGTTGACTTCGTGCCCAATGATCTCACAAGGTCCCTCCCAGCCTTAATGTCTATGAAATCTATGAAATCTATGATTCTTATTTGAAATCTGTGGGGTTATCCTACAGGCTTTCAGGCATACTTACCCTGCCTCAGGCACAGGAGAATGCAATGGCTAAAATTTCTCCTAGGTGGAAACGAAAATTCATATTTCACAGAAGAGTTGAAGATGCTGTCACAGAGCTCAAAGGTGCCCTAACACAAGATAAATTCCTTGCCCAGGACAGCATTCCACGACCCCATCCTCCTGTGAAATATGAAATAACATAACCAGAAGGAAACACAATTCAATATGCTGCTTGACACCAGACAACCTCAAGGTAAATAAACTGTTCTAACTTTTTTCTGAGCCTAATTTGCAGAAAATAAACTATTCCAGCCAGGAGATCTTACAACACCTTCAGCTCTCCTGTGTAATATGAATTTCCATTTCCACCTAGGAGAAATTTTACAATCTTCGCATTCTCCTATGCCTCAGGAAGGATGTGTGCGCCCCAAAACTTGTAAATAAGGATTTTTTTTGCAAACATCTATATGGTCTAATAAAAGATATCACCTCTAGGAGTTCTGATTCCATTTGCCTCTCCAGAGAGACCAATACAGCTACAACCTGTATCCCTGGGATTATCCTGTGACTCATGTTTGCACACCTAACAGTGCTAACAATGTGTGCCACTCCACAGCACCCCTAAAAGGATGTCAAGGCAACCCAGGGTGCCATGATACCCTGACTGAGAATCATTGCTCTACCGTATGGTGATTAATGCATTTGCCTAGGAGGTAACCCACCTAAGTTCCATTCATACTGCAATCAATAAGGAAGTATTTTATGCAACACATTAAAAAGGATAAATTGAAACCCCCAGAAAATGGTGTTGGGAACACTCTTCCAGGATCTCTAGGTTCAAATGCCTTGAGGGACAGGAGAGATTTGACCTCAAATTGTCTACAGACTGAGTGCCCTAATCCTGAATACAGGGTTATAATCCTGAATTGAGGGCGTTATATGAAATCCCTCTTCTCCCCCTTGTTTTATGAGCAGTGCCTAAATCAATCCCTTTATTTCTATTACCCTGGCTTAGTTAAACGTGCTCAAAATGAGAACAAAAAACCTTTCACTTTGAGTAAGACAAATCATTTAGTCTAATCTGAAACAAAAATGTTTAGTTTCCCATTTTAATGAGAACAGTTGAAGACAATTAATTTTTAGTCATATTGAATGAAAAGGTTCCTTTTGTTTTCATTTAATTGAAATTGTTTAATTAAAACAATTTAATTTGTTTTTATTGCTGTTTACATTTGGCCACTGAGCCAAAACATCCGTTATTCACACAGGCCTGTTTCCAAGTACAGCTGGTTACAAAACGGTCCTGTTTCATTAAAAAAAAAAAATCAAGTTGAGATTGAAAATAACATAACCAAAAATATTCAGCAAAAAAAAAAATAGCCCCAAATGCCAGAAGAACTAGACAGCAGATATTTTCCATGCAAATTTTCAATTAAGGGATTTTTTTTTTCCTTCCAAGAACATAATCTAACAGAAAAAATTTGGGGCAGCCCTAATTTCCCATCTTTTACTCTTCTCACCCAAAGTAACAAGGCTGACACCACAATGCCGAGTCTACGCCTAAGGAAAACACAGAACAGAGTTCTGCTCCTGGAGACAAATCCATGGGGAAAGGAAGCTCCTTTTATATAGTGTCTGCTAAAGACTCCTAAACAGCTAATATAAGGTGATAACTGCACCCTGTCAGCCCTTTCAGGAATCCATCTCTGAGTCCCCTGGTCTGGCAAAGAGGTGACAGGGTCTGCAGCTGCTGTCACACAGCTACACAGCAGCTCCATCATTTCACACTGGGAAAACAATCGGTGTCACAATAGATTAACATAAACCCCCTTTCATTTTTAGAGCAGGGAATTTCTTGATTACCATAAGCTTCAACCTCATTAAAATATCACAAGGAAGAGCATATTTCTGACATTTCCAGTGCTTTCTTTTTCTCTGCTCGCTCATCCTCACCAGAAGCAGTTACCAAGAGTGTGGGAGGACAATCCCTGGTAACCAGAAGCAGCCTTCAAGGGCAAACAGCTCTGATGTAGGCTCTTGAGCAGAAGGAAAGACAATCCCCAAATGAAACAAATCTTCAAAGGCTAGCATGGAGATACTTCTGTACGGGAGCAAAATGCCCCCCAAAGAGTTTAATATCAGTTTTTCCTCGGTTCTCAGCTCCCAAACTTGATAGGAATATAAGATGGTATTTTTATCTCTCATTATTTTCTATGGAAGTAGTGCCTGAGGACTCCTAGATACTAGGCACTGTATGAACAATTAACACAAAAATCAGCACTGCCAGAACCACAGAGAATTCACTGTCTGCTTTTTAGACCCAGGGAAAGGTGAATAAATGACCAATTGGTATTTACAGTGTAGGGCAGCAATGGGACAGAAGAAACAAGCAAGTTTCTTGATGCTTCTAGTCATAGCAGTCACTCTTTCAGCTGGTAATAATTTGCAGACTTAAGTGCAGGGAAGTACTTGGTGTAGGGAAGTATCATGAAGAAATTCAAGGTAGAATCCATAAGTGAAAGAAAGAACCTCAGCTCAACTCAAAGGGTTTCTATCAGACCAAGCAAGTCATATATTGGTGGTTTTGCTTTTATTAGGAAGCATGAATATGCATACATTTCAGACGAGACTTTTTTCCTCTTGGTCTTAAAAAGGGGATAAGTCTCATACTCCAAATTATTGACCAGGCTAGCATGGAGAAAAGGTTGGCTTTTACCTTGGTTTGAAGTTTCTTTCCTTTAAGTCCTTTCCTAAGCAAAATGATCTATACAGGACAATCTGGGAAACAAAGATTCTGATTCATGGAAAACAATGAGGTTTTGACACGTGTTTTCAATTTGCATTAAAAGCAAATCCAGACCTTCTGATATTTTTTCACTTAAGCTAGAAGAGAGGAAAGCCGCCCTAGAGATGAGTGTACTCATCTAGTATGTGGGAGACCCAGGTTCAGTTCCTGGCTGTGCTTGAGTCCTCTGTAACCTGGGCAAAGGGCCCAAATCACCAGGCTATCACCAGTGTCTTTCAAGCTGTCCCAGTAGAGCTGTTCCATTTAGGTTATATAAATAATAAATATTCATTGGGCCAATAAAAGACTGGATCAGATTGAGCAGGGGTTTGAACCTAAGTCTCTCACATGAATATCTAAAACAGCAGTCACACTACCTCTGGTTCTGGCCAGAAATTCCATCTGTGAGCTGATGAACTATTTTGACAAACCTGCATTTTCTGACAAAAAGCATTTCATAAAAGATTCTTGACCTGGTCTAGCAATACAGTCCCTGGGATAGAAAAAATAATCTTTCTAAATCGATGAACCTTATTAGCCCTGAAATAAAAAAGTTTCCTAAACTATTTATAATAGCTCAAAAATATTTTTCCCATAACTGAAATACAGGACAGCTTTGAATAACTTTTTTCTGGAAATTTACAAATTATTAAGATGCATTTCCATGTCAGATCTTTGAATATTTGAGTAAAAAAAAAAGCAAGAAAAAATATCACAGAATTCCTGTTAATAGCCTGTCATATGAATGCTCATAGACTAGCAACTACCCTAGACATGTTTTACTTTGAATTATTCAAATAGCTAAAAGGACCAAAGACACATTCCCAAAGATCCCTCAGGACTTGTATTGTCTTAAACAGACAATCAAAGAACAAAACAGGGTGCCAGCAAGTCGTCTGAAAATCTTTTAATGAAGAACCTGTGATTTCTTTCCTCATCCAGAGTGAGCTGCTGCATTAATTACAAATGGAGATTTATTCATATTCAGATTCCAAATAGCTGATGGGCTTTGGCTGGCTTTTCTTTGGTCCCTTCCACTAAGCAATAATGAAAACTTTTGAAGCTCAGTTTTGCATAACAAATTAGTTCTTTATTGATTAATGAATTGCGAGAAAGCTTACCATAGTGGTATTTCACCCTTCCAGAAGAGGTAGTGCCCTTATATCATGCTAGGTGAGCTCATCAATTCAGTCCATTCAATAAAACAAAGAATCCAACATCTTCTAAATGTGTAGTGGCCAGATTCAAACATATTGAATCTCCACTACCATGTTCCTTGTTCTTTCATTCAAACCCTTGTGAAGGGAATGTAAAATGTGTGCATAATGCTACCACATGTGAGTGCTAATATTTTGCATACACTTTGCAGTATTTATTTTAAAAAGGGGAAAATAAATGATGACACAAGATGCAGGACCACAAAAAATTTAGCCCAAACAATCACAGGCTGTTCAGATTTATATCCATTGATCCTACTGATCTAAAAAAGTGTGTTGTAACCTCTCCCTCCCCGATCTAATCAAGATGGAAATGAAAGCAACCTCTAACTCCAATTGTGGGATTTAATTGCTGGATCTCAGGTATGAGGCCTGCTTCTGCAGTGTCTTGCACTTACAGTAGTTATTTGCATCTGTGTAAAGCAGATAGAAAATGCTACAAAAATAAGACATTACATGGCAGCGAGGAATCACAGCCAGGTACTTTCCCCATTTAGTGTGAATTTATTCTTCATGATTATGAAGAAAACATCACTGGAAACACAAGCCATTCAAAGATCCCTCCATAAAAGTTCTCTCCATGCACCATACTTCACCTGATATAATATTAATCTGTGGTCTTCATACAAGTTTTATCAGTAACCATACATTTTGAACCATGCGCTCCCAATTACAGTAACTGTTCCAGCATCATAGAATCATAGAGTCATAGAATCATAGAAGTCGGGTCGGAAGGGACCTTGTAGGTCTTCAAGTCCGCCCCCCCCACCTGGGCAGGAGAAAAACTGGGCTCAGATGACTCCAGCCAGGTAGGCATCAAGCCTCTTCTTAAAGACCCCCAGGGTAGGAGCCAGCACCACTTCCCTCGGTTAGCCGCCCTAACTGCGAAGTAGTTCTTACGGATGTCTATTCTAAACCTACTCTCCAACAACTTGTGGCCGTTATTCCTTGTTATGCCAGGGGGCGCTAGGGGAAACAAGGTCTCTCCCAAACCCTTCTGGTCCCCCCTAGTGAGTTTATAGATGGTCACCAGGTCCTCCCTCAGCCTTCTCTTGTGAAGGCTGAACAGGTTCAGGTCCCGCAGTCTATCATTGTAGGGTCTGCCCTGTTGTCCCCGGATCATGCGCATGGCCCTCCTCTGGACCCTCTCCATGTTGTCCACATCCCTTCTGAAGTGGGGCGC